ACTAGACGAGAGAGATCTGACGTATGCGAACACTACCCTAGCAAAGAGGCTTTGCAAACTGACCCTAGTATTGAACGCGAGAACACGTTTACTTACTACTTACTATCACTGCAATAAAATTTAGGAAAAGTAAATAAAATTTTATCATAAATCACGTCTACTATTACTCCGATCATATCGTCAAAGGCGAATGATGTGCCAAGCTACTAATGTAACATTGATTTAACTTAGTTCTATGGCTTCTTCACCGGTCCTTAATATCGTTTATGCCATGTAATATGTGATAAACTATTTAACACTACTTGAAAGTGCTGCTTAGTAATAGGCAGCACATTTCAGAAGTGTGCCAAAATAGTTATCACTTATAGTACTAGATTTTCAAATTGCTCAAGAGATGTATACAGTTCTGTTATGATGCTTTTGAAATTATATTATCTTAATCAAAAAATTTTTTTTATAGAATATTGAAGCCAAGCTAATTAATCAACGGTGGTAATCTAGCCTGAAGATGCAGAAGATGGACACTGGCATCTTCGAAGTATTAAATTTGCGAATTTATTGCATATAGTGTGTTCTCAATGGCAATACAGCAAGAAATAATGTAAATACGTAGTTGTCCAAGCTACGCATTTGCTAAAGTTCGTTCCAGGTATTACAGTACGCCACTTGAGAATATTCAAGAGCACCGCAATTTGGCACTAAAACTTAGCCAAGTGCGTTTCGATAGACAGCAGCAGCAACGATGAGTCAGAAGGACCTCGAGACCGCGCACATAAAGTCATCTGGAACTAAAAGCAAGATACTAAAAGCCTCTGTAGAACCACAGCGCATCGAACAACAAGCTGAAGATCTGCGCGATCACATGACGGCCACGCGTCCAGAGCTTTTGCCGCTATTAAGATTTTTGCCAATATCAACGCGGATTTGGAACCTGCAGATGCCCTCCGAAGCCGTGGCACTAAGTGCACTGCTACAGGATCGATTGCTGTGTCTACCCGAGCTCAACCGTAACTCACCGTGCTACAGCGCACGTGACATGGTACTGCTGTATACAAAGATCAAGTACCTGGAAACTTTTTCCCAAGCTGAGTTGGCCGATTACACCAATGCCGCCGCCAATACCGCTTCGTTACTTGAGATAGCGGCCACGGTGCGAAAACGGCAGGAAGAAGTACGTCTTGTGAGTCAATTAGCTTGTGTAGAAAATAATAACGAACTTTTTTCGAGACTTGCCATGCTACTGCACATTTCGTGCCATGGTGACTCTTGGAATGAAATCGTCAAGTTTGCAGGCAACGCACTCCCGTTTGCAGAACAGACAGAGTCACTGCTAATGCATGGATCCGATGACAGATCCACATTGTGTCCGTTGACCAAGACTAACAAGTACAATGCGTCTACAATTCCCTTTGCCACAGACGTAGCGCGTGGAAGCTGCACTTGTTCAAGTGTAACGCTGGAAGCCTTTGAACTGTGCGAAAAGATGCGTCAGGAGCTTTTACTAAACTCATTTTCCATCAACCCGAACGCCAAAAGCTCCAATGCGCTCTTTGACACTAAGATGTGTGAAGTGCGATCGCGCGTGGCTGCTTGTCTTGATGTCTCGAACTTGGTACGCAATAATCAAATGAGAATTCTACTGTCGCCATCGGGAACAGATGCAGAACTGTTGGCGACAGTGGCAGGACTTGCAAGATTTTTTTCAGGACTGGGGGAAGAAGAAAATTTACCTGGAGGCGTAGGACCAGAGCAGTGCAGAGTGACAAGTATTATCACAGCAGGTGGCGAGATTGGCCGCGGCTCAATCGATGCGTCTAATGGTAAACATTTCAGCCATTTGACGCCAAGTGGAAAAAGTGGTGCGATTGGGCAAGCATTAAACAATTTCCCAATCAATCTTGTAAATGTCGTGAGCATGCCGGCTCGAAACGACGGAGGTGACATCAACAGCATCGATACCGACGTCCGGGAATTAATACAGGAGCGACTCGATTGTGGTGGAGGCGTAGTTTTACTGCATGTTGTCGTCGGAACAAAGACGGGGTTCTCTTGTCCTTCAATGCCCTTAGTAGACGCTCTTGCCACTCAATATCCCAATCGACTGCTAGTAGTTGTGGATGCCTGTCAGATGCGCGTTCATCGATTGTTGTACCCTGAATGGCTTGCAAAGGGTTACATAGTGCTGGCTACAGGCTCGAAGTTCTTTGGTGGCTCTCCTTTTTGCGGTGCTGTGCTCATGCCTATGCGTTGCGTTCGAGAAATGGAAGCAGTCGCATCTGGACGCCATTCGGAAGTGGCGATCCCGGATGGTTTGAAGAGTTATTTTTCAAGGCATGAAGTGCCCGAGGATATGCACAATTTCCGTGAAAGGCTAGGAAGAAAAATGAATGTCGGACTACTTCTTCGATGGGAGACTGCGCTGTTCAACATGGAACCTTTTTGTCGTATCCCCCCTGAAGACGTCGTAGCTATTTGTGAGTTGTACATGAATACTTGTAGAACGAAGGTACAATCGTCTTGGAAAAGCATGGTTGAGCTGCTCGCCGTACCAGCATCAACTGAAGTCAGCCGTGGAGATATATTGGCACCAATAGATTCTATTCTATCATTTAAAGTACGCGATAAAGATGGCACATTCCTCAACATGGCGGCTCTCAAGACACTACACACGCTGCTCTCCAGGGATTTGTCAGACGTCTTGCCGAATGATGTCATGGCAAAAAAGCGTTGTTTGCTAGGTCAGCCAGTATTGCTTGGCAAAAATGGGGCTGTCATTCGAATTGCGATGGGAGCGGACATGGTGAACCAAGTTTATGCTCGCGGTAAGGGCGAAGGCAGTTTTCATGGTGCCATAGCCTCTCTGTCTCAAGATGACGAAGCTATTATGAGCAAAATTGCGCTTATTCTGCGCCACTGGGAGGTGTTAAATCACACCTACTTTAATAAGCGCGTTGAGACGGCTTTATTGGAGCCGTTGAAGCCACTAAGCAATTTAAACTTCAGCGTCAAAGATTCTGCGGTCGCACGAGTGGTGCAGTATCTGGTTAAAAATCGTATACTGGCGCACGGAATGACTTCGGAAGACGAGACTAAGCTTGCTGTCATTTACGACTTGGAAGCCGTCGATATGGCATTTCAGACACTTCTATGCTCTTTTCCAGTGCATTTTGAACACCGCTTTGCAATGAAATCGTGTCCCCTATCATTTTTTATTAAAATGGCGATCAAAAACAATATTGGGCTCGAGTGTGCATCAATTGTCGAAGTGAAACACGCATTGCGATTAGGTTGTCCACCTCATCGTATTGTATTTGACAGTCCGTGCAAAACCCGTCGCGATCTGTTATTTGCCTTAAACGCCGGTGTGGAAGTCAATGCTGACAATTTTGATGAGCTCGAAATCATACGCGAACATGCTGATGCAATCTTCCAGTCCAGCTTTCCTGAATGCACTCCACGCAATGCAGGACATTTGCCTCGAATTGGGCTGCGCGTCAATCCGCTGCTTGGAGCAGGAAACAACGCCTGCCTCAGTGTTTCGACAGTACACTCCAAGTTTGGTGTGCCACTCACAAAGAAAAACCGCGCTAAGATTATCGCCTTTTACTGTGCAAACCCGTGGATGACAGGCTTGCACGCTCACGTTGGATCCCAAGGGTGCTCACTCGAGATGCTATCGCAGAGTGCCGTTATGCTAAATGAGCTGGCGAATGAGATTGACGCAGCTGCTGGGACTAGTAAAGTAGAAGCATTAAATATCGGTGGCGGCTTGCCGGCCAACTTTGATAACGAGAACGTGACTCCAACGTTCGCCGACTATGTGGCAATTCTTCGTCGTAAGGCACCGCAATTGTTTAAGCACACCAGTCGCACAATTCTAACCGAGTTTGGAAGCAGCGTCAGCTCGAAGACAGGGTGGGTCGTCAGCGAAGTTGAATATGTCAAAGAACATTCTTACGTGGACAACAACGACCTCATCCAAACTGCTATCATTCATGCGGGATCGGATCTCTTTCTACGTGCATGCTACCGACCCGAGATCTTTGCCCATCGGATGTCTGTTTTTGAGTACGTACCGCCAAGCTTTTGGCTAGTTCGATTGATTCTCTAATACTTGTGATAGCTCTAGTGGCGTAGCCTCTACGGCCCCAATATCTCTTCAGAATGTTGCAGGACCCTTGTGTTTTGGTGGTGATATCGCTGGTCGGCGGATGAAATTGCCTACCATTTCGCGCGGCGATTTCGTCGTGATCCACGATACTGGAGCTAACACAATGTCGATGTTTAGCCGCCACTGCAGCCGTCCTGCGCCAGCTGTCTTCGGCTACCGCGAAAGCGGTAAAGAGATTTCTCTGCAGCTACTTAAGCCAGCAGAAACTGCTGAGGAAGTTCTAAGCTTCTGGGAATAGATTTGAAGCACAAGCATTCTCTTAACCTCGATCTTAGAGAAGTGTACACTATTCTAAACGCTTCAATAGATTTTCTGACCTTAGATATTTTTATTCATCTTCAGACTGCGCAATGGGTCAGACGATTGAGAATTCTGATCTGTGATGTAGGAGTGCATTTTGATCATGAGTGGAGGAGGATGGGGAGACAGTACCAAAATTGTATTAGCAAAGGTATTAACGTGATAGAATTGCTTCCACCTAATGCGACTAAATATATCAACAAACACCTCTACATGCCGTTGCCGCCATCTTTGGCCTAGGATTTCTGGGAGCGCAATTTCGCCACGAGCGTTTGAATTTTGCCATCTTTCAGTCGGACTAATTGCTCAAGTTTTTGCACCTTCATCTTAAGTATTTGAACAGTCTCTCGAAGTTCTACAGTAACTCTGTCCCTCTCCAGCAGCTCTTGTTGAAGAAAATCGATCTTCAAAGTTTCATTGCTTGGCATGATAACTTTTGCACTTAAATCGATGGAAGCCACAGGCGCTACTGGTATCTCTGTAAATCTATTTGTCTCCTCAGCCTGCATCGGCAACTCGGACGTAGACGCAAGCAAATCGCCACGCAAGTCGCCGAGCTTATCTACCGGAGATTGCCTTGCACGCGTGCATCCACCCACTGGACTACTATTAATTATCGTGCCAGCAATTGCTGTGTTTCCCGAGATGACACTGCTTGTATCATCTGCATTATCATTGTTTTCACGTGTTGCTTGAGGCAATGGCAAAGACGATGGCTGCTTTTTGTCGTGATTGGCAATCTGCAGTAAATACGGTTAAATAATTCTTATAGACACTCTTCATTTGCGTACTTTAATCTGAAGTTTTACGAGTAAGTGTTCAATTGCGCCGGATCGGCACTGCACAAGGTCATCAATATCTAACTTTGACAGAGAGATGTGAAGTCTTCTAAACACTTTTCCTATCGATACAATAAAAAAAATTATGCAATATAATGTCATTTTGTTCCCCTCAAATACGCACCATTAAGAGTGTTCCAGTTGTATTGTTTTTGCTTGACTGAGTTAGCAGCGCTGTAGTTGTGCATCTGCACGAGCTTTGGAAAGTAATAAGCAACCACTTCCGCTGCTAATATCCCATCGCTAAAATCACGAGCAATGCTCTTTTTAGGCCGTGACAGTGGAATTTCATCAATCCAAGCATACACACGCTGCAACGTCTCGTCATCCAAAGGTAGATCCATCATGATTATGTAAGAATTTACACCTGCTTATGCACTTGCTATTGAGATTTCAAGAAGCAGAAAAACATTTAACCACTACGTGCTCCAAACACGAAACGACGCCAAAACCGTTAATATTTTTTGAGTCTCAAAAAATATTGTACTTTGATTCTATTTACTAACCCCAAGTCGACGCAGAGCTGCTTCACTCATAAGTTGACGTTTGTGCCCGTTGACACAGTCCGTCGAGCAGTATTTAAACTCTAATCGGGTAAAAGGAGACTTACCAGCATAATTGCCACAGAGATCACAGGCCAAGCCTGCTGCAATTTTACGTTCTAGCTCCTCCTGTTGCTCGATTTGTAATCGTTTGCGCTCTGCAGCTTCTTTTTTCTGCTGCTTTTTGCGCTCTTTTGCTCGCTTACGCTTTTCAGCCTCTTTTTCTTTCTTACGCTGTTCCATATCACTAGTAAGAACCTCAGGGATCCGCGCCATTACGTAATCCCACGCATTCGGATGCTCACCCATGTATTGGCGAAATGCATTTCGTGTGTCTTTCGAGTTGCACAAGAAGTATGGTGGTCGACCATGGAGGTCCAACAAAGCAGGATTAGCCCCTTGATTTAGCAGATATTCAACCATTGACACTGTGCCCTTTGCAGCAGCGTGATGAAGGGCCGTCATGGACTTAGCATCCACCGAGTTGATTTCGATATCCTTTTCCTCCATCCTGGATATCAGCTCCTTGAAGCCCAGAAAGTCACCATCATTCACTAACTGAATAATCTGTGGTACTTCCTTCTCATCTTTTACAACATCAACATTCGTCTTCACATCAAGTGTGGATAGAGACTCGCTTATCTGCTTCAGTTTCTTCTTTTTCGACACTTTTTTGGTTGTGGGTAGTATAGGTTCTATCGGAAGCGGCACGATCCGTACACTGCTAAGGTCCGAGCGCACTCGGCACACCTCCTCGAACGTCGGTCGAAAAGTAGCAAACGGAATTCGCTTTAACCTTTTGTCACCTGTAGCAGGAGTTAGTCAAAAGCAATGAACAGCACGGACTACATAAGCTTATCCACTTACCTAACTGCAGCACCGGATTCTTTGCTGGAAAAAAAGTCGCACGCTCTGCCTTTCCACAAGAGATAAATATCAACTCTACATTTGTAAGCAAATCCTTCCACTCCATGAGCAACGTAGCCACGTCTTGCTTCAGCGCAACTTCATTGTACCGACGCAGCGTCGCACCAGCTGACTTGGCCTTTTTATTTGCATCGCTAGCTGACTGCGCACCACCCTGCTTTCGTCTTGTCGTGTATCTTTGGAACGTCTTGTGACACAAGGCTTTGTCTTTGTCAAACACAGCTCCAGCAAAGCGTCCACTACGCAGTAAGAAAACCGCCCACCGGAACTTGGACGCGCACACTCTGTTCAGTGAAGTGTGTGGGTTAAAATTTTCGTCCTCCGCCCCAGGTAAAATATTCTTAAAGACCTTAAACACGCTCGTGCCGTCCGAAAACTCGACGACAGGCTCCATCGTCATCGCCTCCCTCTCATCCTCCTCCTTATCTGAACATGATGAAGTTGAAGACGCAGATTCATAGCCCTCAGTTTCCTTTGCGATACTCTGCATTTGCAAATATTGCAGTGCTTCTTGCTCGGAAAAACTCGAAAGCCCCTTTGCTCTTCTCTTCAAGTTGAGGCAGTGAGCCGAAGACTTGAAGTGAATATACTGCTCGTCCAGAGACGCGAAGGCAGAAACTTCGCATGCATTGCAACGTAAGCCAACGTTCACGCGGTCTTCTAGCGTCGCCGCCGGCAGCCGCGATACGGTGGCCGCGATATCAGACGCTTCATTTAGCGTTCGTGAGTGATCGAAATACCGCAATCTTCCTGCCACAGCTCGAACAGTCCATTGAGATATCTGGGAGGGAGTAAGGTCGCTTAGCGCAACGCGCCCATAGGCCTGCGCTGGAGTCTTTGTTATCATGAAAATGCTAAAAATAAATTCGAAAAGGAAGACGTAGGTTAGAAGAATTCCTAGGAAAAAACATGAGTATGAGTAATGACAGGTAGACGATTTTGCACTGTACTGCATACTCAATGTCATCTTTTGAGCAGCGTAAGCGTCCTGCGGCGTGCGGCACAGGCTTCAGCGCACGACTTTGGTGCAACACAGACCCATGTGGAATCGTATGTGCCATCGTTTCGTGGTTCCTGGTGCTATATGCTGAGTGCACTGTCGTGGTAGGATGTCAATTTTTTCTTGTCTAAAACTTTGTATCAATTTATTGTTCTTTCCGCCAAAGGGTGTAGTAGTTTACCCTTGGATGGGTATTTCACCATTGGGGTTGCTGCATATCACTATCTTCACGATTCTCTGCTTTTTAGCGCTTGTATCACATGGAAAAGGTGGCAACAGCATATTTTAATTGGACCAAGAAAAAGAAACACTTATGTTTTATTGTTCGATGTACAATGCAGCCATGCTGACGGATCCGGGTGCTGTTCCGGAAATGGCACTGCCATTGGCATTGGCCCATGCTTCCAAGGATGATATAGCAAGGTGAGGTGACGTGATCAAGAATGCGTGGTGCTTAGCTCAACTTGTTGCCGTTGCAGACTAGAAGAGCAAAGATACCGGACATGTCGTCGATGCCGCCAATTTAAGCCAGGAAGAGCACATCACTGCTCGATCTGCGATCGCTGCGTCATTAAAATGGATCACCACTGTCCCTGGGTGAATAATTGCGTGGGGCTGGGCAACCACAAATTCTTCCTGCTGTTTATCTTCTACGTGTTTTTGTTGTCGGCGTATGCACTGACACTTGTTGTCTTTCGCTATGCAAAGTGCATTAATGAGTTGTAAGTGATCATACTGTTATTCAATGATAAAACACTATTGCATTGCTGTGATCTGATACTGTATTTTAAGCTGCCCGACCTACGGCGCAATTCGAGTTGTCTGCCTGATAATGGAAGCTGTGCTCTTTGGACTCTTCACTATGTGTATGATGTGTGATCAGTACAGCGTTATTACAACGGGTACAACACAGATTGATCGTTTAAAAGGCGAGAGCGCAGATAACCTCGGCCTACGAGAAGTATTTGGCGGTTCGGATTGTAAATTTTCGTTGCATTGGCTCCTTCCAGTGAATATTTGGTTTCCAACGTAGGGGTGATTCTAACAACTAACTGGTCGATTTCTTATATGCTGACCATTTCGTGTACTGGGTAGTTCTGTCAAGAATCAGGTGTTAGGCTACGTTCTTGAACACGAGATGAATTTTTCTGAGGAGGAGACTTCAGAAATGGACACTTTTCTTGACGATGGCAGCCTGTCTGACACTGCCGTAACTATGACTACGGAAACATTGGAGGGAGGATGGTCGGTGGAAAAGCGCGTTCCGACTTGTGAACCAGCTACGGTTGTGTAAAATTCGAACTCGTATTTAGTCAATTATTCTTGCAAAAAGAAAGTAAGGAAAAGCGAAGCGAACGCTTATGATCGATTCATTTTGCTTGAAGAATCAATCACACTTTATTGCAAACACAGTATGATTCACAAAGCACACCCAACATCTAGATAATATAAGCGGATAAGATGGGAGGTATAACTACAGTGATCTACTGCGAAGCACGCCAAAAGTAGGTTTCCCCCACCTTACTAAAAATACTTAAGCGAGGACTCCAGCCTCCTTCAGCGCACGATGTGCGTTGCATGCGTGCTTCTTGAGGCGAGGATCATCAATTTTTTGCCACTCCTGAACCAGCTTTAATAAGCGAACCGATTTTTCAGACTTGGCAAGTTCTTCGTAGTAAAGCGAACACAGTGTCTCTACAACATGAAGACTTTCTCGCTGCACCTCTGGCGTAACGTTAGGGCCACCGGTAGCAAGGTCAACAATGTACTGCCAACCATCAGAGCGAATGAATTCTTGGCGGCACTGTGGATGGTCACATAGCCGTGCAAGCGCGGCGGTTACTAAACGAGAAACGTTAGAATTTTTTGACTGGCCGAGTGTCACGAGCTGTGGTACGAGACCAGTCATACCAGACCGAGATTCCTCAATGGCAGACATAGAAATAGTGCCAAGCACACCTTGCATCTGCGCATCTGCATACTTGCTCTCAAGCAACCCCTTTAAAGCAGAGACTCCATTTTGAATACTGTCAGGTGAAAGTGGTAGCGTTGTAAGTGGCTTGGGGGCGGCGCGTTTGACCCCATTTGAAGTGGTGATTTTGTCGCTAAGAAGTTGGCTGCGTCGAAATAGGCTCTTCAGTTCGTGATATAAGAACATAAGAGCCGTAATATCGCCTTCGCGACGTTGAACTTCAATGACGTACTCTTGCTTGGCCGTTTTGAAAATCACAATGTTGAGACTGACACGGTGCGCGGCGTTCCGGCGATATTCAACCTTCCACTTGCACTTCTCAGCATCGAACACGAAATCAGTATCCAGCTCACATAGCTTGATGCCCACGACACCGCACACACGTTGCGTTGATTCTAGCTTCACGTGAAAGTGTGTATGCATTTCAAGCCGAAAAGGTGCCGGTGGAAGATCGCGCGGAATCACGTCTGTATACTTTGTACGGTCCACACGCACCCCGAACGAAGGTAAGATAGCAATTCCGTCAGGTCCCTTCGATGGGGACTTCTTTGAAGCCGTGTTAAACGACATAGGACCTGGAAATGCTGCACCCCTTTGATGGAGGGGGGAGCGTGATTCCATCAAAGACGCAACAGCAATGGATCGATACTGCGGGCGGTCAACCTGGTCATTAGGTGTGAGTGAGTGAAACAAGGGCTTAGTCTCGAGCTTCTGGTCTTTCTTATCTTGGCCTGGACTGCTCATGACAACAAGGCTCGTGATGTCTGGGCGGAAAGTTAGTGAATGAGCCTAGTTTCCGGAGAAGAAGCCGCCTCCCAAACTGGCTCGGCTATGGGTCGCACACGAGACGCAGGAACTTTCTTTGACCTAGCCTTTAACAAAGAATGTTCTGATGACTGGATTTTTATAAAAGGACTATAAGAATGACGATGCTCTGGTCTATTACAAATACGACACAATTCAGCGACTCATGTATAAATAGCCGCTATGCTTCTCTTTGAAAGCATCATCTACTCACTCAGAAGGGATCGGCGCGCATGCATGACGTTGAAGGCGGCATCCTCGCGAACAGACAGCCAGTTTGTCGATTTGTGAGTAAGTGGGCGACACAGACCATCCTGGGTATCACCATCCGGTTTTGGCGCTTCCAGCTGACTTGATTCTGCATCTTGTCGATGATTGTTTGTGGCATCGGACAGACCAAGAGAAATTGAAAACGCTTAACATAATATTTAGATGCTGGGTAATGAATTATATTAATTTCCAGTAGAAAATCACTTGAGCTATTTAGACCATTTATATCAGCCCAAATAGATCAGGACACCGATTCGATGATATTGTGAGCCACCAATGGTCCTGCATGTCAAACAAAATGGAAAGACGCGTCTTGCTATTGGGAAAGATTCGCAAACGTAGGTTTGCAAACAAACCGTTAAAAAACGAAGTCATGAATGTCATTTTTATTCTCTTCAAAATATTGCGTTCATTTTTCGACATGAATGAAAGACAACCTTACAAATTGAGAAAAGATGTTTCCTGCATATTGCGAGATTGATTACCACAGAAACTGTACAAAGTTGGTCTGACTTAAATACTTCTTGCTCCAACGAGTTTGTTTTGATAAAGTGTTTATCGGTTTAGCCCTTGGCTTGCTTGGAGTGTAGCTGATTGGATTTCTGGAATACACCGCGAATATGCTTCAAATCCGGGACAGTTTATGTGCTGTCCATTCTGCAACTCGGGCTTCTTGAAGCGCTTACCGCCACTAGTTCCAAACACCTGCTACAGTGGCAGCATCGAGGTCTTTTGAAAGTTGGTGCGTGTGCCTAAGCGATTGGCGCAGGCCGAATGCCTTTGACCACAGTAACATCGTCTCTCGACAACTAAATATAAATAATTCGCGATTGTATTGATTTTGTCGCGAGCTTGCAAAGAACGCGCCCTGGCCAGTCGTGGCGAAAAAAAAGCTTCGGTTAGTGGTTTTCTTCTACAATTTAATTGCGCCAGGCTACTTTGTCAGCTGCCTCGGAAGCGGCGAGTTGCAATCTAGTGGCCAAGTCGCCGATTTGTGTATCAGATACCTTATCCAATGTTCCGTAAAGGCATGGCACATCGGCCTCTCTGACGGTGTCTAGGGATCTAGGCCAAAAGATAGTTGATCAGTTTGGCATAAATGGAGCGCTCATCAGCAAACAAAGGTATCAGCGTGATAAAATGTGTCACTTTGTCTCTCTTTTATCTTGAGCCGTCAAGCAGTAGAGGCTGTTGCGGTGTCAAGCCTCATTTTTGCTGTGCACAAAGTAGCGCCTTTCTCTCAGGTCATCAACAAGATGGCACGGGGAAAGAAAAGAACAAGCACTGGAAAATTGCGGGAATTTTCCAAACATGCTGTTTCCAAAATAATATTTGTCTCTTGACCAAAATGATGACCAAGCAAGTTACCATTGTGCCATACTGATCCATCGTTTGCCATCTGTTCTGCAGCAAAGTAGTAATAGGTTGTACTTAGCCAGTTTGGGGTCAGATTCGCCAAAGCAAATTTTTAAATGAGATTTTATTGAAGGTTTCGTCAGCAAATAAATCAGTTCATACTCGACTTCAAAATTCTTACAGTGCGTAGTAAGCTGACAATCATTTTTGTAGTATCAAAGGAAATACATACACTCTTTTTTCCTTTTGTCAATGCAAAAAAAAAATTTTAAAGCCAATCAATTTTAACATTGTTTGTTTCAGCTTATTAATTTGGTTAGTATTATTTTCAATTATAATGAGACATACCATTTACTTTATGATTGCATCTCGTGAACAATGAACCCTGACTATTTTTAACTCTTGTATGAGTATTATTATTCAAACATACCAAAGCATCAGCACAAATGAAGGCGATGGAACTCAAAAAAAGGAGAAATTCGTGATAGACGCGGTCTATTAGCCACACTTCAAGCAACAAGGTAAATTTTATTATCGAGTAATATTAATCTATATATAATTTTGAGCTAAATATATGTCGCTGTGGAAATGGCAGAGTCAACTAAGTACTTAGAAACTTAGACCTCTACACGTTTCTTACCACGGGCCCGTTGAGTCAAAGACACACCAGTAAACTGTACTCGGCGACCCCAGTGCACTGTTAGCAATTCCACGGCGGAGGTGGGGTGCAATAAGAGCTGTTCCATAACCTGCCCCACACGCTTGGAAATACATGTCCTGAAATAGTCGGGAGGTGGGGCCCCAAGGGTCAAATGTGAAAGTCGCTTAATTGGACGCATATTTATGCGATCGCGCTGTCTGGAGCGCTTCAACCAGGAATTGATGGGAGCACACATTATACCGACCGTAAGGTCGCTGACGGTAAGCGTCTAGACCTATGAGAAGCAGTCTACGAGTGTAGCTGAGATTGTCATGGACTCGAATATACTTCGATGAAGCGACAGTGTGTCGCGCTTGTGCTCCCTGATTTAGAGGTCACGCGGAAATGACACCAATTTGCAACAGCTTGAAAAAGAGGCGTCCCAACGTAGCACGATCGAAGCGATTGATGTCGCAGGTGCTCGCAGCGTTTAGCCAGACGTATCGTGTAACGGGGTTACACGTACACTGGTATGAAGGGGTGGGTAACACAAGAAGGTGTAATCACACAATGGTGTGGCTACACCTTAACAAGAAGTGCTGGACTGCCAGTAGATATGCATATCAAGTAGGAAAATCTTTGAATCTAAAGGCGGCTTTACCGCAAAAAATACAGTTTGTGGTTTGAAGCTGAAGATCTATTTGCCTTGAGTTAAGGTTGAAGTTACACTTAGAGTAAGCGGATTGCGATCCGCCACAGTTGTACTGGTTTTAAGAATAGAAGGAAGGTCACCGACCTTAACTTAGCTTCCTCTAAGCGAAAGATCTATGAAAGCCTCGCTGCCTTGGTAGCGCTTGTAGTCTTACGGATCCTCTGTGAGATAAAGCAGTTCTCCTGTTTGCACCAGGGTATGCAGGACTGGCTTAAACGGCTGATGTCTCTGCTTGGTTCTGTGGGCGTGGAACACCTCGCTTCGCAAGTACCTAAAGCGATCAGTGCGGCCTACAGGCGTTTTTGAGCTATGAAAATGCTCTACTAGAGATCTACAGCAGAAGCTGTCGGCGTCGACTGCATCCATGACGCCACCTCCGACAACAAACGACCCCCTCTCGACCCAAGCCGCTCATGGTGAGCGTTAAGACCTTCGAGGGCAAGGATAGAGAGAATATCCTGCTCTGGATGAGTGAGGCCGATATGGCTATGGCGTCCGCCATGCTCAAGGCCGAGCAACAGCGCGTGCCGCTGGCTATCTCTAAGCTTGGTGATCGAGCGCGAGAATGAATGTGCGGCACTTCGGTCGAAGCGGCGTTTCCCTCCTGGACGGGGCTGAAGCTGAAGCTTTTACGAGTGCTCTTGCCGACTAGCCGGGGATGTCGCGTCTGCTCGTGTTTCCTTGCCGCTCGACAGTGCACAGAAAGAATTGTTGAACTTTGTCCAAGCGTTACGTCTTCTCATTGCCGGTATGGCAGCCTATACTCTCCCGACAGTGAACGTCTATATGGAGAGCGTCCGCATTGACGTGGCTAGAATGGAAGTCTTCCGTGAAAACCCGGCTTCGTTTGACGAAGCATTGAATGTGGTTTTGAATACCGAATTCAACTCTAAGTTGGCACATCTTAGACAGAATATATATTTTAGCAGCTCGTTGAACGGGCCCTAAGCCGATGGATCTCAGCAATGCTGAGGACGACGAGGCACAGCTCCCAGCTGCCGAGCACCGTTCGAACACCCGACGGTGTTTTGTCTGTGGAGACGCCCGTCACCTTTGGATTGGTTGTCCCTGCGTAAGGGGCGTCAAGGCTCATCGAACCAACGACTCGCTTCTTACCAGTCTTCTGATTTGTCGTGGGATACGATAACACCCAGAAGGCGCGGGCAACCTACTGGGGAAGAACTGAGTAATGCTGATCCTCAAGGAGGTAGAGGTCAGCATGGCCCAGCTCCGAAGAGTTCCGTGCTCTTGAACACGAAACGTGTGTGTAAACCGGGCTAGCTGGACGTGGAAGTGACCGTTAAGGGCTTTGAGAGCCATGAAAGATCCTGATCGGGCATTAGGCAAAAATCCACGACGCAGCTGTACGATGAGGCGCGGAAAGCGCAGTTGAGTGACATCGTCACTGTTCGCTTAGCAACGGAGACACGTGTCACGGTGCCGAAGGTTCCTGTGGACCTCAGTATCAAGTTTTTTGGATTCAAGGTGTGACCTCATCCTTGAATGGCATGGTTGACACACCATGCGCCATGGATCGACTGGAGGTCGAAGACCTTGGGCGCTACGCGCACAGTTCTTGGTGGACTGAGTGAGTTATGAACCAACCTCTGCTAGAAGGCAAAAACGCTATTGGCGCGGGCACTGGACCGAGACGGCCAACGTGCTGAAGATCGGGGTATCCGAGTTGGTGAACACCGAAGGTGTATCGGATAGGAGTCCCGAGCGTGGATCGCGGGCTGAACGTGGAGTGGCGCGTAACCCTCTGACCGCTGCTCAAGTATCTAATCAGTCGCTGCATGCCACGAGTGACATGGTTGGACGAGGTTCAAGGCATCTTGGGCAAGGCCCTTCAGATGCGCGTGATGTGGCACGTTATTCACTAGACGAAGACTGCGGAGCTAGCAGTTCTTCGTCGGGTGTTGTTAATAACATCAGGATCCGGTGGAGCAGGAAATGGGGACA